TAAATTTTGTGGGTAAGGCTCGACTACCTGTGCGTACCTCACGTTCTATTAACTTATTTGTACCACTTCGTCCACGTCGAAACTATACTCGTAATAATTTCTTCTCGCGATGTCTTCTCACATACAATAAAGAATTTTCAGACATTGATATTTTTTCAAATTCTTTCATGCCTTCAAAGGGGAAGTAATACAAAAATTGAATTGTCTCTAATATGACACAATAATTATGTATTTGTAGATTTTGTCTTTTCTTTTTTAAATGTACTAGTTACTTTCCAGACATTGTAATGTAGGTAGGTAGGCTTGGGTATTCTTTGTTTACTTAATAATTAATAATTATGTTTTCTTCACTGTCTATGTTATAATTGTTTTGTTATATTTCATGTTACTGTATCGTCTGTTTATAGTAAAATATAAAATGTAAAAAAAAATTCTAACCTTAATATCTAGGCTCATTATGTCAACACTACTTATTAATATAATACTACTTAAATACTTAAATACTTTTCAGTACTCGTTGTCTATCAACTATCTATATATATATATATATATTTGTAATTATAATTGTAATGACTGTTTGTACCAAAATAAATTAAAAAAAAAAAAAAAAAAACGACAACATTATCCTTTACCCACCCTCACTGAAATAGCCACCAAGTTAAATGGTGCGCGATACTTCAGTAAATTGGATGCTAAATCGGGGTTCTGGATGATTCAACTAGATAACAGTAGTGCTGACTTGTGCACGTTCGGTACACCGTTCGGCAGGGATCAGTATATGCGTCTGCTGTATGGTATAAATTCTGCGTCTGAAATATTTCATGCCAGAGTGCGACAGCTGCTGGAAGACCTAATCGATGTAAATTCATTGATGACGTCATAGTGTGGGGAGCCACTAAAGAGGAACATGACAGTCGTCTAGAATGTTTTCTTGAAAGAGCAAAGAAAGTGGGAATAAAATTTAATTCCGAAAAATGTGAATTTTGTGTCAATGAGGTAACGTACCTGGGACATACCTTTAATGCACAGGTGATGAAAATATTCAATTCAATTCAATTCAATTTATATACTGGAACATGTGTACATAATGGTCTTAAGATTATAATAGTTCCAAACATGCCCTGCCGTTTCCGGCGTGTAAAATATTACATTATTATCACATTATTATATTTAAAATTACTATTATTACAATCCATTATTATCACATTATTTTATTTAAAACTATTAATACAATCCATTATTATCATTTAAATAATCATTTGTGGAATAATAACATTTATTTAGTAATTCTTTAAATAATTTACTTTTAAATTGTTTGTTATTCAAATTTCTATAATTGTCTAGAAGATGATTGAAAATAGATGCGTCAAGTGAAAGCGATCATGGATATGCCGAATCCATCGGATCGCCAGGCATTGGAGAGATTTCTAGGCATGGTTAATTATGTCAGTAAGTTTATTTTCTAATTATTCTGAAAAAGTTACTTCCTTACGGAATTTGTTAAAAAAGGATATAGAATGGAATTGGGGCCCGAGCGAAGATCAAGTAGTGAATGAATTAAAAACGCGCTCTGTGCAGCGCGCCCGATCTGGCGCTATCTCGTGCGAGCCAGCCGTGCTGTCTGTTGATGCGAGCGCGCGAGCGCTCGACGCCGTGCTGTTGCAGGCCGGCCGGCCCGTCGAGTTCGCCTCCATGACGTTCACTGACACTTTTAATGACTGACAATTTTAATTATTATTTTCACGTACCCTCAAATGGGTTGAAGCTGAAAATCAGTGTTTTGTTCCCTGAACAATGTTCCACGCTGAGCTTCGACCTTTTTGTATTGCTACAGATCACACATAAAACACAATTTTATAAATCTTATGTTGTATTATGTATTTTTATATTCTTATGAACATGTTATGTGTGTGACTAGTAACAAACAAATAAACGATATATCTATCTATCTAATCATTGCAAGTTTTACATAAAATATTCATATTAAGTTAAATTAATAATAATTATAGTGAAGTTCGGTTGTTGCATACTATACTATACTATATGTAAGTCTTGAACAAATAGGTATCGTGAGGTCCCAAAGCTGCTATTAAGGGTTCCAATTGAAACTACCATTCAATAGGGATGATAGGGATTTATTAAAAAAAAAACACTAAGGGTCATTAAAACAAAAAAAAATCTTAATAGCGCCATCTACATTTACCTGTGGCGCCATCTAGTTTGCACGGAGTGAACTAATATTACACATTCGTATCTATCTTAAACATACCGCCCACCAAGGACACCATGGCCTTAACAATCTTATTATAAACAACACAACCGCCCACCATGAATAACCTAAGCACAAAATAAATTGAACCATTAAAAGTTATATTTATAAACCTAAATACATTTTTCAAACAAATTCTATAATATACAATTATGACTAACTCCATAGTAGACTGTATAAATAAAACAATAAACGAAAACAAAGTCCTTCACTTAAATTCATCTAAAAAAATACATCTAGTAGGTTAAACATGTATCAAGTATTTATATATGTAAATAACAAATCATTTTACACTTTACTATTATCATCAGTAACTGGCAATATACATACTTTAGAAACAGGGCGTTTGATCTGAGAATTTTTACATTTTAATGTAACTACACGCGTAATATTATCAGCTCCAGTATGTTTTGCGACAATTTTACCCAAAAGCCATTTAGTTGGAGGCAAATCATCCTCTTTAATCAAGACAACATCGCCAATTTGAGGTTCGGGAATTTGATGTGTCCACTTATATCTTTGCATACAATGTGACAAATACTCATTGGACCATCTACGCCAGAAGTGTTGTAGCATTCATTGGACCAATTGCCATCTTTTTAATGAACTAATATTTAAGTTTTCATAATTTGGTGAAGGAACATTTACTAGAGGTTCTCCTATTAAAAAATGTCCCGGAGTTAATGGTAATGGTTCCTCTAGATTATTACTCATTATTGAAATTGGGCGCGAATTCAAACATGCCTCCACTTGGCACAGAAGTGTAGACATTTCCTCAAATGTTAAAGTAGCGTCCCCAATCACGCGTTTTACGTGGAATTTTGTGGACTTGATCCCTGCCTCCCATAAACCAGCAAAATTAGGTGCCCTAGGAGGTATAAACTTCCATGAAGTACCATCTGTAGCTAAAATTTCAGCTATTTCCTTGGACATCGACGAATTTTCTACATTAAATAAACATTTTAATTCTTTAGAAGCACCTACAAAATTTGATCCATTATCGCTCCATAGCTCAGAACAATAACCACGACGCGATACAAACCGTTTAAATGCATTAATAAAACCTTTAGTTGACAAGTCACTCACTACCTCAAGATGGACTGCCCTTGTCACCATACACACAAACAAACATATATATCCTTTGTACGATTTATGACCTCGACCTTTTGATGTTCTCAAATTTATCGGACCCGCATAATCGACTCCGCTACGTAAAAATGCACGTGCAGGAGTAACTCGAACAGAAGGTAAGTTACCCATAAATGGAGTTTGTGTTCTTGCCTTATGCCTTATACATGTTATGCATTTGCGTACGTACTGTTTAACTACATTTTTTGCTCTGATAATCCAATAAGCTGTACGTAAGTAATTCTGCATTAGTTGTGGACCACCATGCAGCGTTTTTTTGTGAGCATTGGCTACAATAAGGTGTGTTAAGTGCGAATTATGAGGTAATAAAATAGGATTCTTTACATTATTATTTTCCAGTGACTGCTGAATTCTCCCTCCAACTCTAATTACACTATCTTTATCAATAAATGGGCTTAAATTAGTTATTTTGCTTGTCTTTATTTTAATTTGTCCATATTTTTTCAGTTCTAATATTTCCTGTGAAAATTCTCTTTGTTGACACAATTTAATACAACACATTAATGCTTCATCCAGTTCCCATTTGTTTAAATAATTTAATTGTCCATTCTCTGCTAAAATCCTTTGTTTTGTAATAATACGTCTACACCATGCTATAATTTTAATAAGCTTTGTAAGATCCGAATATTTATCTACAATAAAATTCTCTATAGTTATATGATGTACCTTTACAGTTTCTTCCAAATGAGTTTCATTGCATTTTAATTTAGAATATTCTATATCTTTATTCTATAAAAATTCAGGACCGGAATTCCAAAGATCATGGGCGATAAGAAGCGATGGACTCAATCCTCGAGAGGCACAATCCGCAGGGTTTTGTTTGGGTGACACGTGATACCAATGAGAGGAATCCAAAACTGTTAATATCTCCGATACCAATGAGTAAGGAATCTAAAATGAGTTTCATTGCATTTTAATTTAGAATCTATATCTTTATTCCATAAAAATTCAGGACCGGAATTCCAAAGATCATGGGCGATAAGAAGCGATGGACTCAATCCTCGAGAGGCACAATCCGCAGGGTTTTGTTTGGATGACACGTGATACCAATGAGAGGAATCTAAAACTGTTAATATCTCCGATACCTTGTTCGCTACGAAGGTCTGCCAACCACTCGGTGCTTACTCAACCAAGCCAATACTACCGTGGAATCGGTCCATGCCTTTACGTTTGTTATTGGAACAACTAATATATCTGCAACTTCTACTAGTAATTTTGCTAACAATACTGCACCGCAGAGTTCTAAGCGTGGTATACTAATTTGGTTTATAGGAGCTACTCGGCTCCTTGAACTAACTAATGACACGTGTACTACTCCACTCGAATCTATAATTCGAGCATATACCACAGCTGCGTATGCTATTTGAGATGCATCGCTAAAGCCATGCAATTCAACGCTGACATTATCATTCTTAGTGTACATCCATCGGGGAATTTTATATGCAGTAAGTTGTGGCAGTTCTGAACGGTAAGTAAGCCATTCTTTTATTAACTCTTTAGGTGCTTCTTCATCCCATTCTAAACCGGCCAACCAGAGTTTCTGTATCATTACTTTAGCTATTACTACACTAGGTGCTATCCAACCCATCGGGTCATATAACCTAGCTACATCTGACAATATTTTTCTTTTAGTTACAGGTGCGGACAGCGGCGGTAACTTCACTGAATATTGGAATTCATCGCGGTTTCTATTCCAGGTAAGTCCTAATATGTTAATAGTATTATCTGTTTTTATTTCTATATTTTCTATTTTTGTATCTGTATTACTAATCTCCTTTTCTCTTCCTTCTCTCTCTTTATCATTTTGTATTACCTCCATAATTTCATCTTTATTGCTATTCCATTTTTGTAATTTAAATCCAGCTTTCATTAATAGTTCATTCATTTCATGATATATTTGTAAACATTCCTGTACTGTTTCTCCTCCGGTCATTAAATCATCCATATAGAACTCTTTAGCAACCCGTGCTGCAGCCAAAGGATACCTTTCTCCTTCATCATAAGCCACCTGATTAAGTGCTCTGACTGAAAAAGGAGCTGATGATGTTCCGAAGGTGACAGTTAATAATTTGTAGTCTTTTATTTCATCATTTATATTCTCTCTCCATACAATTCGTTGATAATCATTATCTTCTTCTGCTATTTTAATCATTCTATACATTTTAATTATGTCCGCAGTTAAACATACGGGATAGCTTCTCCAGCGCATAATAAGGTGACGTAACTCGCCTTGTATCGTAGGTCCTACTAATAATGTATCATTTAATGATATACCGTTTTCATTTTTGCAAGATGCATCGAACACAACTCTTGTTTTGGTGGTAGACTTATCTTCACGGACCACGGCATGATGAGGTAAGTAAACTGACTCATTTGCTTTATAATCTGGCTGTTTTATTAATTTCATATGGTTCATAGACAAATATTCATTTATCACTTTAGTATATTCATTCTTAAGCTTGTTATTCTTTGCTAATTTTTCTCTAAATTATAAAAACGCTTGATAGCTATTTCTCTGGAATTACCGCCTTTACAAGGAGGATCATCCGTACGAAATGGTAACTTAACAATATATTTACCATCAGAATCTCTTTTTGTAGTTGCAACAAAAATGTCTTCGCACTTTTGTTCATCTAGTGTTAATATTTTCTTACAGCAATTATCCGCCATTTCAATCTCCCAGAAACGTTTCAACGCGTCATCTTCTTGGACGTGAGTATGCATAACAACATTAACAATTCTTTGTTTACCAGGACTTACAGAATTAATGGGACCAGACAAAATCCATCCTAGTGAAGTACATTGGGCTTTAATAATCTTTATTACTCCATCTTTAATAATCTGACTGTACACTTCAGCCCCTAATAATACGTCTATTTTATTAGGTGTATCATAATGCGGATCTGCTAAGCTAATATTCTTGAATTCATCCCAATCGCCAATAGACACACGTGACTCAGGTAAGTATGAAGTAATTTGCTTTAAAACATAAGCCTTTACGTCCATTGTAAAGGATGGATCTGTTGTTGATTTTAACTTTAGCATGACAATATATTTTGAAACAACTGAACTTTTACCTCCAATTCCAGATATTGTTCCTTTTGTAGGAATCTTTTTTAAACCGAACACCTGCACTATGGATTCCGAAATAAAAGAAGCTTGTGATCCCTGATCAATCAAGGCTCGAACCATCTTATACTCCCCGGTTCTTGTTTTAATATTAACTAAAGCAGTAGCTAATAATATTGTACTAACTTTATTTTGACTGAAACAAGATACAATTGGTCCACTCGAAGCATTACCAATTTCCTGACTCGTAGAAGGAATCGCATCAACCGTTTGTACTATGTTACCTTGATTAACGTTTGACGACCCTGCTTGAGGATGAAGAAGAGAGTGGTGACGTCTCTTGCATATTCTATAACTAATGGGCTTTCGACAAAATTTTACCGAATGGTTACTCCCTAAACAGTTGAAACAAATACGTTGATTAACTACAAATTCATGTCTTTTGTTATAACTCTCAGAAGCAAACTGTTTACAAAAACACAATTTATGATTGCCTGAACAAAATTCACAAGCTATATTTGTAACATTTGTAACATGTAGTGCCTTTGTTTTTACAGGATTATTAAGTGAACATCTATTCTCAAATTTCTTATTGTGTGGTTCTACAAACTCTAGTGCTCTATATCTACTAGTTAAAAATTCTTTAAATTGATTAAATGTAGGCAACGAATCGGAATTAGTATTACTAGTGACGTTAAGCTCCCACTGTTTACGGGATTCAGGGTCAAGTTTTAAAGTTAATACATGAATGACAATTATATCCCATGAGCTTACGTTAATACCAATATTAGACAAGGCACTCAAACACTCCGACGATGTATCTAGTAATTCCTTTAAAAAACTAGATGACTCTGAGGACGCATTTTTTTGACTAAGTAGTCTTTTTAATATACAATGAGACATTATAACGTTCTTCTACTTCTTGTTATTATTTAACGTGTGTATGGCTTCTAATTGTTTCTGTTAAGTGTTGCCATTACAAAACGAAAATATATACTACAAAATATTTATATTTATTTTAGGTTCAAATTGTCTTGAACAATCATAGTTACATTCCGATACTTGAATATGTCGAACAAGTTGTTCCGCCTCACCCGTTAAATACCCTTTTAAATAGTGTAACTTCTGAACTTTATCTAATGAGTCATTATTATGAATCATCGAAATAAATAAATCTCTAAATGTTGGCCATTCTGTGTATTTTCCTGAGAAACTACCAATAATGATGCGGGGTAATTTAACATGGCTCGACTTAACATTTACAACATCATTGGATACATTGACACTACTACTATTTTTATTTTCAAAACTTTTTAACAACTTTAACAATTCACATTTATAATCTAAATACAACTCTTCTGATTTATCAAACAATTGTTCTGTTACATACTCATGACTTTTTAATTTACCAGGAGTAGCTATTTTTAATATTTCTTTATGGCCCTCCTTAAATTCTAACCATAACTCTTCTAATGCTTGTAATCTACTATCTAAATATTCTTGTGTAATACGTTCCTTCGGACTCTTTTTAAAATTAGTTCTATATTTATTCAATCTTAAATTGATATCATTTTGTATATATAATAACGGATCCATGTTTTTTATTTACCACTAAGTATACTATTCAATAATAAAATAAAAAAAAATATTCTTAATTCAAAGTAAAAGTTTGTTCTATTTCACTGCTACTTATATGTAAATGGCATTAATATTTACTTTGTATTATTGTAGGTATAATAGATAATCTAATAAAAATATATGAGAAAAAGTTAAAAATTTTCAAATATTTTCTAAGTGTTTGAGAAACCTAGGGAAAATTGGGCATAGGTTCCCCGTACCTTCGTTTTTTCGCTTACAATTCTAAGTCTAAAACTACACTTAATAACTATTAAAACTATATGAAAATATTACAAGTCCCAAATAGACACTTAAATATTCAAAGTTTTTGATCTCTTGCAAATAAGGTTGAAATTAGTTCAGCTTATTAAACAGATATTTATTTTTTATGTTTCTTCTCTTCGCTTGATATAAGGTTCAATTTCGCCTATCATTGAATTTTTAATAATTTAAATGTACTCACGGTTTCACTTCACATTCCACTCACACACTGATGGCACTGTGACGTAATACTTTCCTCCGCCCTTGACTCTTCTCCTGACGACTGCTCGCGCGCCGTCCGCAAGTAGTTCCGCCGACGTCCGGTAGGTGGCGCCACCGTAGAACCGCCGACTGCTCGTACTACTTGCTGCACTTGAGTCAAGGGAACTCCTTTCCACAGCAATCCACTGCGACTTAGGAGTTGAACTGGTACCACCTTGAACTTGGTTAACATGTTCGGCTCGAAGACGACCATTGAACAAATAGGTACCGTGAGGTCAAAAAGCCGCTATTGAGGGTTCCAATTGAAACTACCATTCAATAGGGATGATAGGAATTTATTTAAAAAAAAAAATTGGGGGTCATTGAAACAAAAAAAATCTTAATAGCGCCATCTACATTACCTGTGGCACCATGTAGTTTGCACGGAGTGAACTAATATTACACATTCGTATCTATCTTAAACAAGTCTTTTTATATTTTGTATTATTATAATTTAAAGGGAAAGAGCACAATTTATCTACATTTATTTCGTTATTCAGTTAAAACGTTTATTTAAATTATCAATTTATCAAATATAACTTGTATATAATATACCTAGGAGAATTTATTCACAATTTTAACACTTAAACTTGTAACGTTCCCCCTCTTTCCTAAGAAATATGTCTACGATACCCTCTCTAAAAATCAGAGGATCAGCTTAGGTCATATACGCATTGGAACACTCAATCATTTGGCCATATAAATAAATTATTGTGATCGTCTAGTATCGGTGGACCCGTTGTGTATGTAGTAACTATAGATTCTTTTATTGGTATATGATGGAGTAATAACTGCGAGATAAATACATATCTCAATAATACAAATTATGATACAGAGTATATGTTATGAATAATAATTATATGGTATATATTTGAATCATTGAACCATTATGATTTTAATAAATAAGGTGGGATATGCAAAGTAGGGTTGCAATATGCACCATTAGAAAGTGAAATGGGATGAATATTCTCAGCACCAAAACAAGATTAATTTATATTATTAATTCAACATTACAAGTGGTTTCACCAAGCTTGCGATGCTTAAAGCAGGTAGATAAAATATAGTTGCCATAGGCAGATCGAGACTGAATTCAGGATCACTCACGACACAGAAGCTTACTTATGGATATTGACTCCTTCGGTTCTATGTGGCGATAGAGAGACTGTCAAAGAGACTGCCCGATCTCGAAACTAAATCCCAGCATCACTCGGTCACGTAGCTTACTTAATGGGGAATACCCTTCGGCTACATATAATGTGACATTTGAGATCAGACTGAAGATACAGTACGAATCTACAGAAACTAGGAGGTCAATCAAACACCAGAACTTACTAATGGATAATCCTTTCGGCCCTATAATGTGACATTGGAGATCACCAGTAATTGCAGTACAATAAATAATAATAATAGAGTAGCGTGATAGCTCAATGCCATCAACACCACAATATTGGTCAATCCAATATATAATGTTGATAATTGCTATATTACAAACATAGCATGTAAAGTTTATAAATTTACTTAATACCAAGAATACTCAAGGGATTAAGAATTAGATATTTGTGAATAAGAGCTGTGCTCTAATATGATTGATTATATGTAAATTAGAATTACTTACATGACGAAGTAATCTTTATATTGATGAGATATTATAAGCGGAACTATAAGTCCCATATCTGAAAATAGATGTCTGGATGCTCCACATAAAAAATCAACCAGAAGGTAATGTTTAGTTTATAAGAAGGAAGTGGGGGCCGACCTCTCGCTGCCGAATTTAGTTCGGGCAATGGTTAGGAGCGAGGGGTCGTGGCTGGCAGTGCTCACCTTCTGCGAAGAAGTTATTTCGCAGAAGGAGGCGGCGGAGAGGGACCGGGAGTACGATCCTTTCGCCCCAATGATCCGCCGCCGGAGGACCAGGCGCAGACGTCGGGACGAGCCCAACTTCGTCCCTAGTCTACCCCCCACGGGGGCCGGAGTGCATGCCTTGAGGGAGGCACCACCACACAACAAGGCCCCTGAGAAGGTAGGGTGCAAGCCATAGCACCCTAACCAGAGAGAGGGGGCCTGTCCTACAACATCTTTTTTTTATTGTGGGTAGTCATACATATAGCACACAAAAATTTTGCTCCTCCAAATTATTTATTTAAAATTTATAATTTATTCACTATTATATGTATTAATTACTGTTAAAAGTTAGCCAGACTCCATCCCTACTCTGAGCCTATTCTCACTTTTACTATATTGCACATCAAACACATAATCAAGTTGTATATTGAAATGGACCTCTACTCAAAATTAAGCACCAATATGGAAGATATTGTCCAGCTTTTCCAATCGCGGATGGGAGATATGGAGAAAAGCCTGCATCAGATGTCTAGCTCCCCTTCCAGACAACAGGATATCACTGCTTTGAACCGTGAGTACCATGACTTCAAGACGTTTATCTGGAAATCTGTCAGCTTACTAAAATCACAGATTGAACTCCTTTCCTTGGGTTTAGATCGGCACGAAACAGCTTCCAGGAGGAAGGTTCTATTGTTACATGGTGTTCCCGAGTCTCCAAATGAGAATTTAAAAGAAAGTATTGCTAAAATACTAAATGAGCAGTTAAAGGTAACGAATCAATGTTCTGCAGACATATCCGTCAGCCATCGTCTTGGTAGTAAACAAGCAAAGGCTCGGCCAATACTGGTTCGTTTTCATAATTATTCTGCACGTAATGAAGTGTGGAGTAAAAAAACTGCATTGAAGGGCACCAGCACATCAATATCCGAATTTCTTATTAAATCTAGACATGATCTATTTGTTGAGGCTAGAAAGCATTTTGGCATTAATAAATGTTGGACATCTGAAGGAAAAGTGGTTATATTGCTACCGGATCAGTCGCGGCGTAAGATTGAACTGAAGTCAGAGTTGCATCCATTAACCACCAAGTTCCCAGTTAAAGACTCGACGCAAAGTAAACCTGCAGCAGGTACCGATAAAACCACCAAAAAAGCAGCAACGATGACCACTAGGCGCCAGGGACCGAGCAACAAATAAGAATTGCTGTGACCTTATTTGCTTCTTTAATTTTATAGGTTAAATTTCAGTTATAGTTATTAGTAATTTATTTCTTATTTTCGGCCGTTATGATTACGTGAGGCCATTTTTTTTTTTTTTTTTTGTTGTCTTATTTTTACTTATATTATTATGTAGGTAGTATACTGATTTATTATAGAACTATTTGCCAATCCTTAAATTTATATATACTAAAACTTTGTATGAAATGTTTTAAATTGTGCTTGTCATTTACCTGAATGGAATAGATTAGAGTTATTCTGTCACCTATGATGTTGACAGCTGTCTAAACTGTCAGCTGTCATTATTGTCACGTCTGAGTAGGTAATCACTATGTTAATTCTTTTATGTAGTATTTATTTAATAATTTTGTAATGTTGCCTGTAATGAAAAATATCATTCAAGTACATTATTAACATGTTCATTTTTTTATCTTGTTTCACTGTATAACAACAAACTGTAAGTTATCATTCTGATAGTGTCTCTTTGTATTTCGCATTTTAATAAGAAAAGTGTAACTCGTAGTATATTTTATTATATATTGCAATGTAGTAAATTAGGTATGTGTTTTTTCCCGGCTGGCTTGAGGTGTTATAGGGTATGGAGTTGGCCCATACTAAACTGTAGTCTTCTTTTTAAACGTTATAAATTTTTTTTTATTCATTTATTATATTTTATTTATATTATTATTTTTATATATGGATACGTCACATATTTGTAGTGATTATTCGTTTTATAATACATCCTCGGATGAATATTTTAGTGCAAATAGCGACACAGAGTCACCAAAGCTTCGAGATCAACTCTCCTTGTCTTTTAGCCGTCACAACAAATTTCTAAAAGTAGCACATATCAATGCACAAAGTATAATGGCTCATTATAACGATTTGTTAGACAGTTTTGATAACCAGTGTATAGACATTATTCTCGTATCAGAATCTTGTCTGAAACCGTCACTACCTTCAACAATGTGCTGTCTACCTGGTTACCGCCTTCTTCGAAATGACAGAATGGGCAGGGGAGGTGGAGGGGTAGCCATTTATTTGCGTCACAACATACCAAGTAACATAATAGTAAAATCCGATGCCACGGTTATTGACTCCGCGGAGTATTTATTTATTGAGGTAGTTGTGAATACTATTAAGCTCTTAATAGGTGTGTTCTACTCACCCTCTGTTCGGGTGGACTATTTTCAGCAGTTTGAATCCATCCTTGAGTCCTTTTGTCCTGTTTATGAACACAGTTTAATTCTTGGTGATTTCAATACCTGTCTTCTCAAGAACGATTCACGTGCTCATAAACTTTCCTCTATTGTTTCCTCATTAAACCTTAACTTACTTCCTCTCAAACCCACTCACTATCCCCCTAACAGCACACCAACTCTGTTAGACCTAATTATAGTCTCAAACTCTGATAAAGTCTGTAATTTCGGCCAGCTTACGGCTCCTTTCTCTTACCATGACCTTATATTTTTATCGTACAGATTACAGTCTCCCAAAATCAAACCTAAACTTCTTGACCTTCGTAATTTTAAGAGAATTGATTTGGAAATGCTAAAGAAGGACGTTGCGGGCATTGAGTGGTCCTGCGTATTAAATTGTAACTCAGTGGAGGATATGATTGCAAACTTTAACTCAATCATACTTCAAATATACAACAAGCATGCTCCTATCAGAAAAGTTAAAGTCAAGCATTTACCTGCTCCATGGTTATCCCAAAATATAAGAAATATGATGGTGAGGCGGGATAAGGCTAAACGGAAATATAAGCGTTTTCCGTCTGAAGATAATTTATTATACTATAAAAAGCTGCGGAATCGGTGTAATCGGATGTGTAGAGATGCAAAGAGACGCCATATTCATGAATCCATTCATAGCTATAATTCAGCTCAGATTTGGAGACTTCTTAAATCATTGGGTATTGGCAAATCTTCTTCTTCAACTTGTCCCTCTAATTTGGACTATAATGCGCTTAATAAGCATTTCTCCTCGCCTCCTGTCACCGTTGCTGACAGTATCAAAGCGTTAACACTTGATAGTCTTCGCCGCCAGTCTAAACCCAATTGCGAGCCTTTTTCCTTCAAAATCATTAGCCAGTGTGACGTTAAAAAGAGTATCCTTACCATTTCCTCCAAGGCAGTCGGTGATGACAATATTTGTATACAAATGATTCGACTAATAATTGACGAACTTGTGCCCATAATTACTCACATAATCAATCATTCTTTGGTCACTTGTTCTTTTCCGGCTGCCTGGAAAAATGCTCGCGTGATTCCTCTTCCTAAAACCAATAATCCTAGCTCTTTTAACGAATTTCGTCCCATTTCTATTCTACCTGTATTATCCAAAATTTTAGAAAATATTGTTCATGAACAATTATCCCTTTATCTATATAGTAATAACCTACTATCTCCTTTTCAATCTGGGTTTCGTCCTGCCCATAGCACAGTTTCGGCTTTAATTAAAGTACTAGATGACATTCACCTTGCTAAAGATAATAAACAGCTCACAATCCTCACTTTATTAGACTTCAGTAACGCCTTCAACTCTATTGACTTCGATATTTTCCTTGGCATCCTTGACTCTTTTAACGTATCTCCACTGGTTTTAGAATGGTTTGATTCATACTTGAGGGGCCGCAGGCAGTGCGTGTACCTGGATGGGAATACTTCAGATTGGTGCGAACTGACTGCCGGCGTCCCTCAAGGTGGTGTTCTCTCTCCCTTACTTTTCTCTGTCTTCATCAATTCACTGACGAAAGTGATCTCTTGCAACTTCCATCTCTATGCTGATGATCTACAACTGTACCGCAGTTTTGACCTACCATCTGTTGATAATGCTATCTCCTTGATCAATACGGAACTCGAGTGTATTTGTGGCTTTGCTAAGGCATATGGTCTGCTTGTTAATACCAAAAAATCACAATCGATTATAATTGGCAGCAGATATATGCTTAATTTATTAGATTCAATGCACATTCCTTCAATAATATACAATGGGGATATAATTTCTTACGTTAAAACAGTAAAGGATTTGGGTCTTTACATTGATAGTGACCTCTCCTGGTTTTCTCACATTAAACATGTGAGTAAGAAAATATATGGGACCATTCACTCCTTACGGCGTCTTCAGAGATTTCTTCCATTTAAAACGAAGGTCGAATTATCTCATACACTCCTTTTACCTCTCCTAGATTATGCAGATGTTTGTTTTCTTGATGCCACTGGTGAACTGCTCAACAAAATGGAACGTCTCCAAAACATGTGCATTCGGTTTGTGTTTGGTTTGCGTAAGTTTGACCATATAACTCAATACCGTAATCAGTTAAAATGGTTGCCCTTTCATTTTCGACTGAATGTTCACACTCTCAGTCTTCTGTACAACATCCTGCATAATCCTTCTGCACCTTCCTATCTCCGCGAACGTTTTAATTTTCTCTATCCGACAGAAATGAACACTCGATCTCAGAATAAATTACTCTTGCGGACTCCAGTACACTCTGGGCAGGCATATTCCAGCTCTTTTGTGGTGACGGCTATTCGATTGTGGAACTCTTTACCTCACGAAATACGTGCCAGTTCTAGTATTGAAATATTCAAATGCCGATTAAAAGCGTATTATCATTCACAATGCTGACGTATTTTTATATTTATATATTTAGGTATATATTATAATTTACATTTTAACTTATGTCTTATAATTTATTTATGTACCATTTATGTATATATATATATATTTATGTATGTCTATTGATACTTATAGTTATTATATATATATATATATATATTTATGTATGTCTATTTATACTTATAGTTAATATCATTAAAACAATATTTTAATATCTCCTCTTTTCGTACACGTATGTATGACTTTCTATTTAATACACGATCCTATAACATTTTCTAGGTTTGCTGGAAGAAATCTCTTTTTAGAGATAAGCTCGCCCTTGTACATTACATTTATTCTGTATAATTTTTTCTATTATGTGTGTGTGTGTACAATAAAGAATAAAGAATATCTACAGGACAGGCCAAGCCGCCGAAGTCTGGGTTGAGTGCCAAGTGCGAACCCCTATTAACGGACTTCGGCCTGCAATTACATCGGCAACCACTGCGAGGTATACCGTGTGGTTTTTTAGTGGGTACGAGTCCCACACACCACTCTCGCCATCCCTCCGGCGGGGTGACGGTCTTGTTGAAGATTTTTCCACACGATAAATAAAAAAAAAAAAAAACCACGGTACACCGTGTGTTTTTAGTGGGTACAAGTCTCACACACCACCTCGCCATCCCTCCGGCGGGGTGACGGTATTTTAAAGATTTTTCCACACGTTAAAAAAAAAAACAGCATTTATTTCCGTCTGGCCAGTCCATCGGCCGGCCTGCGGACCGTCGAGGCTGTCCGTCCCATCCTCAAAAAATTGGTGGATGAGTAGGCGATGGCCACTGACGTACCGCATGACGCAGATACTGTCCGGGCACGGATGCTTCGGGCGGTATCTGTGTCATGTGGCGAGGAAGGAGCCGACGACCGGCTGCCACGAGTGCGGAGATAAGCTGTGGAGGACACGGCGCAACACACGCTGGAAATATGTCCAGCGTTCGAGAGTGAGCGCCGTGTCCTCACACGAGTCCATCGTCTCTCCCATCGATGGATGAATAGGAGATGGCCACTGGATCCTCATCAGTGGCGAGGAAGGAGCCGACGACCGGCTGCCACGAAAGTAGTCCATCGGCCGGCCTGAGGACCGTCGAGGCTGTCCGTCCCATCCTCAAAAGATGGATGAATAGGAGATGGCCACTGACGGGGGACGATCTCTCGCTGCCGAATTTAGTTCGGAGGATGATCAGTAGCGAGAGATCGTGGCTGGCGGTGAGCTCCTTCTGCGAGGAAGTTATCTCGCGGAAGGAGGCGGCGGAAAGGGAGCGGGAGTCAGCTCGTCCCGCTTCCCTCCGCCGCAGAAGAGCCAGGCCTAGAGGTGGGAGCGTATCCAACTCCGCCCCCCTCTATCCCCCACTGGGGCCGGGGTGACTGCCTTGAGGGAGGCAGTCCCCCAATCCAAAGGCCCCGGAGGTGTGCGTGTGTACCCACACGCCTCCACAATGGAGTAGGGCGATATAGGTCGCCCTAACCACATAACGAGATAGGGCCTACCCTACAACATCTACAGGGCGGGCCGTCGCCGTCGGAGCTGGGGTAGAAATGCACTTGCGAATCCCCTGGCTCCGGCATAGGCGCTCGTAGGTACACCGTGTGGTTTTTGGTGAGTACAAATCTCACACACCGCCCCGCCCTCCCTCCGGCGGGGTGACGGTCTTTTGAAGATTTTCCACACGTTAAAAAAAAAAAAAAAAGTTTGATTTCCGTGTCCTCACACGAATAGTGGGGGACGATCTCTCGCTGCCGAATTTAGTTCGGAGGATGATCAGTAGCGAGAGATCGCGGCTGGCGGTGAGCTCCTACTGCGAGGAAGTTATCTCGCGGAAGGAGGCGGCGGAAAGGGAGCGGGAGTCAGCTCGTCCCGCTTCCCTCCGCCGCAGAAGAGCCAGGCCTAGAGGTGGGAGCGTACCCAACTCCGCCCCCCTCTATCCCCCACGGGGGCCGGGGTGGCTGCCTTGAGGCAGGCAGTACCCCAATCCAAAGGCCCCGGAGCCCGTGTACCCACACGCCTCCACAATGGAGTAGGGCGAAATAGGTCGCCCTAACCATATACGAGATGGGGCCTGCCCTACAGCATCTACTATCTAAGTGTAAGCTTATCTAAGCGTGGAACTACATTGCATAGGCGGCAGCGTGTAAATGCTCATGTGAACTCGAATATAATTTTTGAAGAAAAATTGAACGATAATGAGACCCATAAATCTAATGAAAATGAGGGTCCGAAATATAATTGTAATAGCAGTTCTAATGATGGTAGGTCTGTTCACTTGAAGGCAATCCAGAGAAGAGGAAATACCAATATCTCTAAATTCCAGGCAATAGAAAAGAAGAAATTTCTACATGTATGGTCACTTCATCCTGATACATCGGCCGACGCATTACAGAACATGTTTCCGAAATATGTGGCACAAAGGATCTAAAGATTGAAAAAATTGTTCCCAAAACCAGAAGAGACTATGCGTCATTTATGATTGGTGTTCCAGAATCACTCTTTGGAAAACTAAATAATGAGAAGAGTTGGCCACTAAACACTCAATTTAATGAATGGGTGTGGTTTCGAAACTACCGTAAACCAGGTAAAACCCTTAGTTAAAACTGATGAGATATTCTCGATTTTTTACCAGAATGTCCGTGGCCTTCGGACGAAATTGAATACATTTTACAATAATATATCAACTTCAACTTGTGATCTATTTGCTATTACTGAAACGGGTCTTAATAATTCGATACATGATGGAGAAATAGTACCACCTGTGTTTACCATATTGCGCTGTGATCGAGTGGACGGGCGTAAGCAAGGAGGTGTTTTGTTAGCGGCTTCGTCTCGCTTAGAATTAAATCGCATTACAATCGACAATGTGGACTCCTTATTTGAAATAATTTGTACAACCGTACACTCTCGTAATAACTGTTTGTTATTAGTTTGTGTGGTTTATATACCCCCAAAATGTGATGTACGCGAATATATACGTTTATTCTATATTATTGAAAATATTTGTGTCAAGTATAGTAATGTTTTAGTTATAGGTGATTTTAATATGCCTTCTACTACAGTGGAAGTACAGAGTTATTTTGAATACTAGAATGCCTTCTGTGGATTTCAGCAGGTAAATTATTGACGACAGGCGACACGTATAAGCGGCGTCGCGTCGCACCTATAATATTTGTGTATATCAGGTAGACAATAAGTTGTGTGTTGAAATTGGACAATAATTTAGAAATAATATTAGTTCTTAAAAGTGCAGTTTTAGAATAAGACATCGATTCACTGTTTAAAACTACGATAACGGTTGAACATCTGTTTGGGTACCAGCGTTCATTTGGCATTCATTGTTTAGGAATACACTGAATATTTGTTGGCTTTTGTGATAAGATAACACCGTTACTATTTTCTAGCCATCGGGTTTACGATGACCGTAGGGTTTCTTATTGTACACATATTCTTATTGTAGACTACTGGACTGAACACGGTAATTCATGTCTTTATGAATATTGTCCAATCCGTGTTTAATGCATTGTAGTTAGGCAAGGAAATTGGTTATTGCACCAATGTTAAATATTCTTGGGTAGAGTTGTAAAATGCAATGCATTCTTTATGAGTTAGTTTATGAGTTAGTTTGTGAGAATAAATAAGTAAGGAAATTTCGGCAATGTGAAAAGATATTGTTATGAAGTTGTATAACGTTGTGCATTGTCTGATAGAAATAAGGTTTGGTTTATTGCCAGTAAGAATTTTGTAAGGACTGTAGTCCCCACTACAGTCTATACCTCCCATATATAAGGCGAGGAATTTTTGTATCGAGTTAGTCATAATGGAGTTATAATGTAGTGATAATACAGTCGTAATAGAGTTATACTACAGTTATAATAGAGGGACTCAGACAGTCATAGTCGGATTGTTATATGCCGACGGCTGTCATAATCGAACACAGTACGGACGGCAGTTATAGTCCGTTATTATTGTAAAGTCAGTCGCGGTAGTTTCCTATAGACGCCATACAGTCTGAGCTACAGCGGCTGAAACTTGAATGTAACATCGAATACGGTTATAACTCAATTGTGAAACTTCTGTGGAGAGAATAAACAGGCTTCAAGAGACAACCGTTTCTTTCAAACCCCACCATCGATACAGTCCACTGCTCTCCCTGAGGAGCTGTCGCCAACATAAATAGTATATATAATATTAATGGTCGTACTTTAGATTTAGTGCTAACGACGCTGTTAGAAAATGATTTAGATGTACAATTGTCCAGTGAGCCAGTAGTTGATATTGACACTCACCATCCGCCGTTAATATGCAACGTAAAATGGCGGCGCGCGTTTGGGCCTATTGGGGTTGATCAGCACGTACCGCGAGTCCATCAGCTTAGGGATGATTCGACAAAGAAATATTTAAAATGGAATTTCTATAAAGCTAATTTCTTTGAGTTGTATAATAATTTGTGTTCGATGGATTGGACAACATTGTATCAAATTCGGAACCCACAAATAGCAGTATCTTATTTTTACAATGAAATTTCAAAAATTATAGACTACTCTGTTCCTAGAAAAACTAAAAAATTTGGTAAAAATGAAACGAGATTTTATTATCCGGAGTGGTATACTCACGAAATTATAAGTGATATTAAACTAAAATGGAAATATTATAAATTATATAAAAAAACAGGTTTACATTGTGACTACCTGGTGTTTTCTCGATATCGATCGCAAATAAAATAGCGTTAGCATATGAATTTTACCAACAGAAGCTACAATTAAATTTTAAAAATGATCCCAAATCCTTTTGGGGCTTTATAAAATCCAAACACTCAAATCATAACTGTACTAAAATAATAAAAGATGGTCAAATTGTAAGTGACGTGGACACCGCGGAGTGTTTTGCATCCTATTTTAAGTCGGTATACAGCCCTGTCTCGTAATGGACACAATGGAATTTGTCAATAACAAACTCTGATGCACAGTTCAACAGTACATTTAATTTTGTCTTTTAGTTTTTACAAAAAAAAAAATTAGAATAGCAACTAGCTGTGAAACAATTAGAAACAGTAGTGAAAGTAGATAATAATATCGACTAACTTGAAGGTATACAAATAATAAAAATTATAACGCCTGTTCAACGCAATTAGCAAAAACTACGGCTACAATGTTGGCTTTAACATAGACTCCCCCCGTTGAAGAACTATTCTTCAACTATCATCTTCGGTGAGAAGAGGACAGAGGCGAACAAAGGGACGACGGTAACATCCTGTTGCTGTTTTCACGTCAGCAACGCGAGAGATTCCATCGGCTCCTGGATATAATTTTACCACACGACCGGTACGCCAGCACAAAGGAGGAAGAGACTCCTCTCGTAGTAAAACCAGATCACCAATCTTTAGCCGAGTTGTATCCAGTCTCCATTTGGTCCGTACTTGCAGTTCAGAAATGTATTCATGTTGCCATCTTCGCCAGAAATGTTGTCTAATTTGTTCAAGACGTGCGTAACGATTAAGTCCACTTTCCTTTTGTTCTTCCAAAGCAGGAGATGGTAAAGCATTCAATGGTCTTCCTAGAATAAAGTGCCCTGGAGAAAGGAAAAGGAAGTCATCAGGGGACGGGGATAAAGGGCACAATGGACGACTATTTAAAATGGATTCTACTTGTGCAAAAAGTGTCGAAAGTTCCTCAAACGTCAAATGCGAGTTACCCATGACGCGTCTTACGTGGTATTTTGCACATTTTATGCCACTCTCTCAGATTCCGCCAAAGTGAGGAGCGTAAGATGGTGTAAAAATAAATTTAGTGCCTTCCCGAGATGCAAACTCATATAAACTTTCATTGTTATTCTTTAGAAAATCGTTAATCTCCTTAGCGGCTCCAACAAAATTGCGACCATTGTCCGAAAATATTTCCGCTGGCTTGCCGCGACGACATATAAACCGACGCAACGTCATAATAAAAGCATCTTTAGTTAAATCGCTTACGGCTTCCAAATGAACGCATTTATACCGTAGACATACAAATAAACATAAATAAGATTTCGATAATTTTGCCCCCCGTCCCTTACGATTTAGTGTAAAAAAGGGCCCAGCCTTAAATATTAATTGACATAAATAATGTGACGAATCTAATAATATTGGGTGACGCTTATCATACGAATAACTTGAAGCATTTATGCGCCCACCTACGCGTATTAAATTATTTTTATCAATGAATGGTGACAATGATAATATATTCGATTTTGAATTTAACGGATTTCCCTTTGATAACAATTTAAATTCAGTGGGAAAACTTTCTTGTTGGGCTATAAAACATAAAAAGTTAAAAGAATCCTTTAATTCATCAACAGTTATTACACCAGATATTTTAGATTTAGGATTTTTTATATTATGTATGAAACGTTTAATATAAGCAACCGAATTTTGTAATCGATTAATATTTGAAAACCGCTCCATTTCTATTATCGTATTCTTTACGTCGATTGAAGCAGCCACGAGTTTTAGTTCAGGTAAATTATTAATATTGTTATGTTTCAAGACTGGCCAATCATCTTCATCCTTTAGTAAAAAATTAGGTCCCTTCCACCACATATCTGTATTACGTAGCTGACTGGCGCTCACACCACGTGAAATTAAATCAGCAGGATTTTCTGCAGTAGGCACATAACGCCAAGAAGAGGATTGTGAAAGTTCTAGAATTTCACCTATTCTGTTGGCGACAAAAGTCTTTAACCTTGAAGGGTCTCCCTTCAACCACCCTAACACGACACTGGAATCGCACCAATGCAACATTCGATTAGGAGTGTACCGAATTGATTCTGTAACTGTCTTAGATAATCGAGCTGCAAGAAGAGCCGCACAGAGTTCCAGCCGAGGTATTGATGTTGGTTTTAATGGGGCTACTTTTGATTTTGAGCACAATAAATTAATAGTTACTTCACCGTTAACACCTATACATTTTACGTACACACATGCACCATATCCTACCTGTGATGCATCACTAAAAGTATGAATTTCAATGAATGTTGGAGTGACACATCCGACATATCTAGGAATTTGCAAAGTGGAAAGAATTGATAACCCTTTAGTAAATTCCTCCCATTCGGCCTTAATTTTCTCAGGAACGGGTTGATCCCAGCCAACCTTTAATTGCCACAATTTTTGAAGTATTAGCTTTGGTTGCATTATAGAAGGGCTCAAAATTCCCAAGGGATCGAAGATTTTAAATGCATTAGACATGATAAAACGTTTTGTAATAATTTCATTAGGTAAAGGTACATTTATAGGGAAATGTAAAGTATCATTATTAGGATTCCAACCTAGACCGAGAGTACTTGACGTCTCACTGATAGTAAGGTTGTCTTGAGAGAATTTTGAAGAACTATGAATAACATCTGGTAGGTTAGATTTATACTTACGTAACTTAAAGCAACCTTTACTTAACTCTTTAGCTACTGAATTTTGAATGTAATATAATTGCTTCTTATCATTTGAACCCGTTATTAAGTCATCTACGTAGAAATCCCTTTGAATTATTGTTTTAATTACATCATCGGTACATTCCTCCCCAATTTGCCATAGACATCGCGTACTTAAATAGCTGGCACTTGCGGTACCGTAAGTGACAGTATTTAGTTGCATCGTTTTAATTGGTAATGACTCATCTTCTCTCCATAATATCAACTGCAGGTTTCTGTCATCCGGATTGACTTTCACCTGTCGGTACATTTTTTCTATATCGCCGGTGAGCAGATATTTGTACTGTCGTGCACGAACTAAGATAGAGAAAAGAGAATCCTGTATGTTAGGACCAATCATCTGTAGGTCATTGAGTGAGAATCCCGATGAAGAGGGTGCAGAGCCATCGAAAACGACTCTAATTTTAGTCGATTCACTTTGCATTTTGAAAACCGCGTGATGGCACAAAAAATATGATGGGTTTGGCAGATAAACAGGTGATTCCGAAAGATGACCTAAAGCTTCATATTCTCTTATGAATTCGACATATTCTAATTTTAATGATGGATTCTTCCTGAAACGTCTTTCGAGATTGATAAATCGTTTCTTAGCAAGACCATGTGAGTCACCTAAACAATCAGGTGAATCTCTAAGTGGCAATTTTACGGAAAACCTACCAGTATTAAGACGGAGTGTGTGTGTCAGAAAATGATCCTCAGTAGCAACTTCTGTTGCACTCAAGGAACGCCTTTGGGGAAGCTCCTCCAGCTCCCAGAATTTTGATAGTTGAAAATCAATATCTGTTTCTTTAAGTGATGATTTGTCGACAACTACACTATTACAATGAATCTCATTATGTTTACATGTTTTCATAGGACCGCCAATCAGCCAGCCAAATACAGAATTATGAAGTTTTGGTTTGTTTGATCCTAATGAGGTTTGTTCGCACAATATAACGTCCCAAAAAAGATCAGCTCCAATCAACATATCGATGGGGCCTGACTGGTCAAAGGTCGGGTCTGCTAGTTTAATATGCGCTGGTAAATTTATACTAACTGAAACCCTTGGCAAGTTACCTGTAAGCACATCGAGAACAAGGCAATTTAATTTAATTTTGAAATCATTGGTCAAAGAATGTAATTGTACAACACAACTTTTGTTTATATTATTTAATGAATTGTTGCCTATACCGATGACATTCATGGTAATGGGAATTGAATTTAGTGATAATTTTGTATGCAAATTTTTAGTAATAAAAGAAGATTGGCTGCCTGAATCCAATAAGGCACCTACCTTAGTTGCCTTTTTAGTTATTGGATTCGAAACTTCTATTAGGGCAGTTGATAAAAGAACTTGTTGTTTCACTTCTTTAGAAAAGTTAACGATTGATTCTGCTTCACATACTTGAGCACTGTTGTTTGTAGTATTTTCAACTGAATGCAATAAAGTATTGTGACGCCTTTTGCATTGCTTACAGGGGCCCATTCGACATTCATTAACCGGGTGCCCTTGTCGTAAACAATTAGGACATAGTTTATATTTCGAAACGTCAATAAATTTATCCTTGATTGATTTTGATTTAAAAACAGGGCAATCATAAATTTTGTGATTTTGACTACAAATTATACATAGCCATATTTTGTTTTGACTAGTAGTAGAAAATGATTTTGTATTTATAGTGTTTTTATTGTTAGTATATTTATGACTTGATGAATTATTTGATGATGAATTTGGATTATTATTTTCAAATCTATTTCGACGTGTAGATTCAAGAACAAACGCGCGATCAATTAAGAACTTCTTAAATTGTTCTAAGTTTGGTAATTCATCAAACGCATTACGCTGCTCTTCCCATTTTACAAGTGTATGATTATCGAGTTTGGATGAGATCATAAAAATAATAATGGTATCCCAGTGGTCGGTTGGTTGGCCTAAGCTGGCGAGAGCACGTAAGTTCTTAGTTATATGATCGACTAAATAACGTAACGAACCTTCGGATTCACGAGTTGCTTGTTGCACATTAAATAAGGATTTTAAATGGTGGTTAATTAGTAGACGCTTATTATTGTATCGATCATAAAGCAGTTGCCATGCATTATTATAATTAGCGGATGAGACTTCAATATTAGAAATGACACGAGCTGCATCACCTTCTAGGTAAGAGATTAAATAGTGAAATTTTTGTATGGAGGGGATGTGCTCATTATTATGTATTAAGGGGTCTTCCTATGTGATGGGTTGAAAAAATCGTTTTTTTTTTTTCATAAATTGCTCCCTTAACATGTCTAGAATACGGTAGTAAAGCGATTTTAGAAAATTCGAAGTCGTTTTAAAGATACAGCAGGTAAAAGAAAGAGCGGTTCGGAGCGGTGAGTTGGCAGTTAGAGACCGGGCCTATTGTGTACCGTCGGCTTTATACCTGGCCTCCCTTTTATTAATATATTTGTTTATACAAGTTTAGACACGTTTCTACAGACTTAAACAGAAATTTCTATTGTTATAATATTTTACCGAAGTTATTTTAGTCTTGGTTGAACTTCGAAGAGAGCAACAGCTACAAATTATTTTTTTTCATAATGAGTGGACGGAAAGGAAGTACGAGTGGAAATGTTCATCCTGGTCGTAATAAAAAAAGAAAGTTTAGTGGAAACCGTTTTACACACCAAAATGATAAGGTATTTACATCAGCTTCGGCCAAAAAAATTAAAAATAACATGAACATGAATGTTCCCATCGCTTCGAATTTCGCATATTGCATTTTGGAGTTTGTTTCTGTATTTGCTGCAATCTCTGAAATAGTTATATGTAAAACTTGTAAAAGTGACGTGTCTATTTCGCGATCAAGTTTCCGAGGCCTAGGCTTTGAATTCTTTGATTTGGACTTTCGCTCCTAAACATCTTCATTCTGGTCCCAAAGTTGTTGAAATTGCTAGCTACTTAGCAGTTATTATCTTTAATGAAGGTTTTCAAGGTATTTTAAAAGTTATGTCGATTATGGGATGCCCTGTTGGTCGTGAAGCCCAAGCGTATGTTGAGAAACGGGATGAAAAGCGAATCTTACGCTCTGAGCGGCGCGTAAGTGATGTCGTTAAACAAGCCAGGATTGACTCAAGAGCTGAACAATCTGCTTTAAAAGAGTTTCACGAGGAAGAGGAAGGAATACTCTATGGACCAGGCATCGCCGATTGAGAGTAAGTTGATATTTTAATAGTTTTTAACGGACTTGAAACTTTAAACGCGTTTTTCTCAAAACTGTGTTTTTCAAACTTTCCTCCATTGTATCTCAGAAACGGCTGGACCGAATTACTTGAAATTTATAGGGCACACTCAATATATGTAAACGCATGGAATGAACTATTATCAATCGAAAATTTTCAAAACTTCGATTTTTTTATAGCAAAAAACAAAAAAAAAAAACGCCTAATTTGCAACTTTTATTTCAAATGTCTATCAAAAATCCAATTTTTTTTATATTCATTTGATTATAGGTCATTCCATGCTTTTAAGCCTACAAATTAAAACGCCGTTTTTTTTTTTTTTTCAGATAAGCCGATCAGCCGGAATCGTGGAGGAAGTGGGAGCTTTTTTTTTCGAGGCGGGGGTGTTCAGAGCGCTGTAACTCTAGTTTGACTGAATATTTTTAGCTGAAATTTTATATTTATACTGTCCAAATATGTGTTAATAAATGATAAAAAACTTGAAGCTCTAAATATTTACTGGTCGTAGAAAAAAAATCCTAAAATATCCCTAAAAAACAGGCTGTCACATAGGAAGACCCCCTTAAATTAATAAACGTGTCACGGAATTCAAGCCAACGAAAAAAGGTCCCATCGTATTTCGCAATGTTTAGCTGCGGTAGCTTCACCCGAAACTCATTCTGATCGAGACTGCATTGAGCTTCTTGAAACAAAGATTCACGGCGCGCTTTATCTTGTTCTATTGTTTTTAACTGGTTTTGATCCTCTATGATGTTTTTGGCAGTAGCTAAGCATAATATAAATTCCTGCTCAATGCACTCACGCTCATCAATCTCAGAATCTAAATTTTCCACATTGATTAATTCAATTTGAGTTTGCAACTCATCATATTTAACTGACAGACTTTCGAACTTATTAACCTTTAATGATAGCTCTGTTAATTCGATAGTAGTCAGTTTAGGCTGTCTTGTAATTGTATCTAAATAATTTTTAAACTTGGTGATTTGTCCTTTAATGGAACTGCGTTTAGTACACAAATCCTTAAAATCACAATTTTTGTACACACTAGTAGTTGGAATCTTGGATTCAGTCATGATTTCTTTAAATAACCATCCGTACAAACTTGAAGTTTATGTAAATATATCAATTATAATATTTAAGGAAGCTTGTTTTCAATATAATATTGTATTATGAATAATTGTAGGAAAACAAAATAATTGCCAAGCAATGTATGCACAAATTGACAGACAGACGTACTTGACAAGTCCTTAGTTTTATTCTGTATATATAATATAAAGTTATTATAGAAATGAAATCAATTACAGTGTGCACAAAAACAAAAAATAATAAAAAATATGAAATGTAATATTAATTTATCTGTTGACCTTACTTAAACTGCTTTAGAATTTAAATATATCTGAAAATTACAAAAAGCCTGATAGGAATGCGAAACTATTTGCTTTGAGCTTAATAAGAAGAATTGAAATATGTGTTATAAATTATAAATAGATAGGCTCACGCTCCTCGCCCGGCGACATCCAGATGTAAGCAGCTAGCTCTGATCTTAATGGCCAATAATAAGCTGTATATCACCAGTGTATCCAGCAACCTGGAAATAGTCGGCAAAACAATCTGAATATAGCCCTTAAAACGTGGCGAAAATACTTGTATAACCTAATATTTAATACATTTTACACATTGTATTTCATACGTTATACATACTACAATTTACTTAAGAAATAAATCATTTAATTAGCAAACATATACAAAAAAAATATATCTTTAACACTATATTTGAATAAACACTACATATGTTAACTGTTATATTTCACTAGGGGTAGAATTTTTCGTTTTATTTTTAGTTATATTTTATGATTTTAGTTAATACAATTTGCACAAGTAGTATATAGGATAGTAAATAGGATTTGATTCTTTTAGGATGTTTTAGTAACAGGTATAGAGAAAATTATTGGATATATACAGGGCACTTATCTGATTAAATATGCTGCGAGGTGATGCTTTTGATACTTCACTGCTCGGCGGTGGTTAATCACACCCTTTTCTTGTTTGATAATTTCCTTGAATTTTTTGAACTCCGCTTCAATTCACAATATGAATGGATGGTGTGCAATATAATATTAGTCTTGCTGATCACCAAGTAGATACGGTCATCAAATTACTTCTTCAAAATGGTGAATTTAGGCAGGCCTTTACTTCCAAGTTGAGTACGTGGATATTGTCCTGTCACGGTCGCCAATTTATGTCTCGTAGTGGACACAATGGAATTTGTCAGTAACAAACTCTGATGCACAGTTCAACAGTACATTTAATTTTGTCCTTTAGTTTTTACAAATAATAAATTTAAAACAGCAACTAGCCGTGAAACAATTAGAAACAGTAATAAAAGTAGATAGTAATATCAACTAACTCGAAGGTATACAAATAATAAAAATTATAACGCCTGTTAAACACAATTAGCAAAAACTACGGCTACAATGTTCGCTTTAACAAGCCCCAACCGGCCAAGATTGGATCCTCAGCAAGCTAAACGTGCAGCGGCAGCAGCGGGCGCCGACATGAGCTCGCACCGAGTTCATATCAGCCGACTGACATTATGATGAAATGCGAACAGCTCTGCGGCGCCTAAAGCCCAAGCAGTCCATGGGCCCTGATGGTATTCCACCATTTATCGTTAAAGACTGTAGAATATCAATGGAGAGCCCTTTACTGCACATATTTAATTTGTGTTTACAGGAAGAATATTATCCAAATGAGTGGAAAATTACTAAAGTAACACCAGTCCCTAAAGGAAATACCAGTACGGAAGTAAGTGGATACCGGCCAGTGGCGGTGCTGTCTGCTTTTGCGAAGGTATTTGAATCGGTGCTATATAAAAGTATTTATTCACAAGTACGATCGCAGTTGACTGATATCCAGCATGGTTTCCGGGAAGGTCGAGGTACGGGAAGTAATTTGTTGTCAATGGTATCATATCTGGCACCAGTTATCGATTCTGGTGGACAAGTAGATGCTGCATACTTTGATTTCCAGAAGGCCTTCGACGCCGTCGATAATGACGTGTTGATGACCAAGTTTGCTGCAATGGGATTCACACCCCATTTGCTAAATTTTTTTGCGAGCTACCTGGGTGAACGCATGCAGTACGTAAATTATGCGGGGTATGACTCTAGTCCATATTATACGTTTTCAGGCATAGGGCAAGGTAGTAATTTGGGTCCATTAGAGTTCATCATAATGATTAACGATCTCCCAAGTGTTGTGCAAGAGGCAAAGTGTTTACTTTTCGCTGACGACCTTAAGTTGTATTTGTCGATTGCGGATATTTCTGATTGCGTACGGTTGCAACAAGATATTGATAGGGTAGTTCACTGGAGTAAGACAAACGGACTGCGTTTCAATATGGCTAAATGTAGTTTAATGACATACAGTAAAGTAAGGTCTCCACTTCAGCATCAATACATGGTAGATGATAATCCATTAATACGCTTGAATCAAGTCCGGGACCTGGGCCTTGTAATGGTGTCTGATTTATCATTTAGTAAACATGTTACGGATATATGTGGAAAGTCTTACCGTAATTTAGGTTTTTTGTTGAGACAGTGTAAGGATTTTAATAATACATTAGTTGTCAAAATACTATACAATTCGCTCGTACGAAGTCATTTCGAAACGAACGCTATAATATGGAATCCACATGAGACTAAATATAGCCATATGATCGAAAAACTACAAAATAAATTCACTCGATTTTTATACTTTAAGGAATACGGTATTTATCCTTACTACCCCATGATGTATCCGAGTTTGTTTGTAATGGGCATGGTCGGGTATAATAAATTAGCGGTGAGAAGAGATGTCTCTCTCGTAAAATATGTTGTGAGTGTGCTGCGAGGTTGGGTGCATCACCCAGAAATATTAGAGCAGATTCAGCTATGGGTACCCAATGGTTACGTGGGCGCGCGCCGTCATCCCGTTTTATTCAGTATTCCGGTAGCCAGGACCAATTTACTAAAATATTCACCTGTAACCCGTGCTTTAGAGATACTGAACAATATCAGAAATGATATTGATATTTTTGATTGTAGTCTGCCGAAGATCACAGAAGCCATTCAAAAGTATCTAGAATTTTTATAATGTTTATATTATGTAATAAAATATGTTATGTTGTAAATTGATGTATATATATATATATATATATATATATATATGTATATATATATGTATACTGTACTAAGTTGCGACACCGATTTGTATATACTGTAATGGTGTTGTAATATTGAAATGAATAAATAAAAAAAAAAAGAATTACTTTTCTGCTTTGAAACAATTTTTATTCTTTTGGTAGGGATGCATAAATTATAAAACAATATTATCAAGTCTAAGAATATGTAAAGATTTCGTTCATTACCAGATTTTATAAATGTTTCCGATAAGCAAATGACATCTATATCTCTATAGTCTTTTGATAATTCATCTAGAGTTATTGAAAATATCTCTTGTTTATTGATAATGCCTGCAATATTTTGGTGTAATATTACTAAACTACTCGTATTGTTTGAGGTCTCGAAATAAATGTAACTTTTCTATGTCATCAAGAGAAGTATGTTTTCTTTCGACCGATTTACTATTATTTATTGGGAAAAAGTAGTCCATTATGGTTCTTTTCTTCTTTATTGGTTTGTTAGAGTTATTCATTTTTACGCCGTTTTTAATGTTGTGATTTGTTAATGATTCTAGTCTATTTTTGTAGTTAATTTTATGCATAATATACACATTTTTTATGTAAGTGTTTTTATATTCATGATAATCTATTTCAATATTTAATTTCATAGATATGGTTTTAATAATTTTGTTTGGTATTGAATTTACTTTCAAAATTATTACTGGCACTAAACGAAAACCTTATTTTAAACAGACAATAAACAACGTTACTATTCTGTCGTCAATAGTGGCGGTATGTTATATTTTTTTTTATAGACGCAATTTTCTCAAAAAGGAACACACAATTTTTTGCTTCCCATATTAATAGATAGATTTTACTCTTATCTACAGAACGCATGTTTCGTAACAACATGTTAGTACGTAACAACTGTTATAAAAAAGCTCCATCTGTGACTCGTTTACAGGAATATTTATCCTGAAAAGCATCCAGGTTCGGCAATGCTCTTTTATAAGAAGTTATGTAGCTCTGCTAATGCCTTTTTAAACAGACAATACACAACGTTACACAATTCTGTCATCAATAGTGGCGGTATATTATTTTTTTTTATAGTCGTCGCAATTTTCGCAACAAGGAGCACAATATTTTTTGCTTCCGGTATTAATAGATAGATTTTACTCTTATCTACAGAACGCATGTTTTGTAACAACGTGTTAGTAGGTAATCACTGTTATAAAAAAGCTCCATCTGTGATTCGTTTACAGGAATATTTATCCTGAAAACCATGCAGGTTCGGCAATGCTCTTTTATAAGAAGTTTTATAGGTCTGCTAATGCCTTTTGGATGTATTTTATTTTACAAAAGAGGGCACGACCTTTTTAGTTAATTGCACTGAATTCGGATGACATAGTCTGTATGTAATATGTAGATACATTCCTATATGCATTAACTTTTTACTACAAGAAAACAAACATCTACATAATCAAGTAGAAGTAAAAAGAGCATATGAGATCCCATACGTTTTCTTATTCACGTGTTGAAACATATCGAAATTGATGCGTTCAGAAAGCACAATTCTATTCATAACAATAACTATAACTCTCCTACTATACCTGTTTGATTATAACCACAGATAATATAATATGTTATAACTAATAGAATTCGTCTCCTTACCATATATTATTATGTGGAGGCATGGAATGTCGAGCGGCCTACAGTCCATACAAAATTATTACTGGCATTAAACGAAAACCTTATTTTAAACAGACGATAAACAACGTTACAATTCTGTCGTCAATAGTGGCGGTATGTTATATTTTTTTTTATAGATGCAATTTTCTCAAAAAGGAACACACAATTTTTTGCTTCCCATATTAATAGATAGATTTTACTCTTATCTACAGAACGCATGTT